GTTTCACACTGCCCACCTTTGTCTCCTGGCACCCACTCTTAAAAGAACCCAGAGCCATGTCTTCATAACATTAACATAAAATGTACAAAACTGTGAACCAAAAGAAATCTTTTTGTTTTATACATTAATCATCTCAGTATTTCATTGCAGTGACAGGAATGATATGGAAAGAAACAGTTTTCTAAGTCACATCAAATTAATGTTTAGTGGGCATTCATATATGGACAGATTAATGTTAAGATGATAAATTGAGTAAAGGAGTAGTTTTTGGTTTACTGCTATAACTTGGCATTTTAAACCTTCATAAAATTATCTCTTTATGTATCTATAATACTTGATCATCATCTTGTAATTAAATATTTAATTTATGCCTACTGTTTTCATATAAGGTGTGGATAACATGAATAATGTTGGCTTTGCTCGTGCTTTAAATTTTCTTTACTTCTTTTTTCTTTTTTCCAATCCCAGTTCCTGCACCCTCCTGTCCTCCCCTTTGCCCCCCACCTGCCCCCATCCCATCCCCTTCCTGCTCCCCAGGGAGGGTGAGGCCTTCCATGGGGGATCTTCAAAGTCTGTCATATCATTTGGAGCAGGACCCAGGCCCTCCCCTGTGTGTCTAGGCTGAGACAGTATTCCTCTATGTGGAATGGGCTCCCAAAGTCCATTCATGTACTAGGGATAAATACTGATCCATTTCCAGAGCTTTTAGCCAAATTAAAAGACTAATTCAGCAAATAGTTGAGCATGGCTTTACTTTTTCTAATTCAGTAAATTCTGGTGTTCAAAATGTCCTGAAATGCTGCCATGAGTGTTTACTGTTATAATAAGACTAAGAAGCAAATATTTTACTAGTAATAGTAATAACCCACCCTTACTAAGTACTTACTGATTTCAAGTTGTGAGACTGAAGTCTCACAACAGATTTATGGAGGAGGCATCGTGTGTGCAATTATTTACAATTATTACAGGGTACAGAAGGGTTAACTCTAAGGGTTAACAGAGCTTGAGCTGAAGTTACATAGCTTGACTGCAGAATTCATGCCCTTAACTACCACATAATAGTTATGTTTTCTTTAGGAACATTTTAACATTTATTCTATTTTTAATTAATTGTAAGTTCATATAAGTGTGTGTGTCCTCAAAGGCCAATGATGTTGGATCCTTCTAAAGTTGGAATTCCAAGTGGTTGTGAGCTGCTCAGCATTAAGTTCAGGGAATTAATCTCAGATTCACTACAAAAGCAGTATGTGCTCCCAAGTACTGAAGCATCATTCCAAGACCACAGTTTACATTTATGTTACATCAGTTTCACATAAGATGGACAAATTTGCTTCTGAAAATAAGGCAGAAAGAAACAAACCTATTGCAGAGACTTGGTGGGAACCAAATTGATCCAAGGCTTTCCCTGAGAAGGACCTATAACTATGAACATACTTGGCAGAGCCAGTAATAGCCTGGGGCCAGAACCTTGAGTGCTTTTCCCTGAGGCACTGATATATGGAGAGGGAACAAAGTTCCTTTTCTAAAACTACGACTATGCTTGGCACAACCAATATTGGCCCAGGGGGAGGGGCTGAGGCTTGCCTGAGAAACCAACTATTCCCCAAAAGGGTTATGGCTATCAGTTCCAAGTCCTCTGTGTTGCACTTGAGATATTCCCTTTGTGTAACATTTCTTGATTAGCTTCCTGCTGACTTCTTCCTATTATATGATATCTTTCTGCTGGCCATGTCCTAATTTCTCCCTGAAAACCATAAATACGACACTGTACTTGTTAATAAGCTTGCTTAGCATAAGTCATAGCTTGTGCAATACCTCCTGACCCCATATTTCCCATCTTCTTTATCTTCTCTACCCCTGGTCTACTAACTCTAGGACCCTGACACTGAAGACCGACTTGGTCCAGGTCAGAAACTCATCTCTAGAAGTTGGATAAGTGAAGTGAGACAGATCCCAATGCTTGGTTTGTCTAACAGGGTTCTTGCTCCTCATGGCTGGCAATCTAACTGGGGGAACAGTTACAGATAATACATGTAGAGACAATAACACATCATGGGATCAGAAGAATACCTATGAGTATTTGATAGGATTTGCTATGAAAGTTGAAATAAATAGTTTCTAAAGACTCAGTTACTATAGAAGTTATATTAATACCAGAATGAAAAGTTAGCATTTTAGGGATAGAGAAATGGCTCTTCAGGTAAGAATACTGCAGCCAATTCTGGTACTCAGGTCCCACACAGTAGACAGAACAGCTGACTCCCACAAGGTGTACTCTAACCTCTAATGAATGCTGTGGCATACCCACACCTACACACATACAAATACACATACAATAAATATTAATGTAATTGAAAAAGTTAGGACTTTATTCTCTAGACCTGCTTTGCTCGATTTATTAGCCATTGGTAATATGAGGTGATCCAAACCAAGATGTGCTGTAAAAGCATACTATATATCAGTTCTTTATATAATTAAATTTTATAATGATAATATTATAGGTATATTTGTGTTAAATATCATATTTTAAAAGTCACATACATAGCTTGCATTTATTACTGACTTTACTATATTTCTACTGGACAAAATTGTTCTAGATAAAAGGAGATTAATGAGCAGTGACCCAAGTCACAATCACCTTGAGGAGTTTATCGAACCCTCAATGATTTGGATTATAAGACAACCATCTGTTTTTTCAATGAACAACAACAACAACAACAAAAAACAAGTTGCTAGTTTGATAAAATGCATTTTTAGAGACATAGATCCAAGCAAATTACCCCTTTAACATCTTCAAAATAACTTGAGAGATTTGAAGAGGCTGTGTATAGGGTGACATCAATTAAATATTGACAGTTTTAATTGATTAAGGAGACCTTGGAGATAAAAGATAAAGTTGATAGCAAACTAAAGTACTTGGAGATAACATGAAAAGCAGTTGGGATTTCCTGGCAGATATCAAATAAGTGGCTAGATATGAGATAGTATATCAAAACGTTTGTTTTAAAAACTGAAGTTCTTGAATATATTTATTCTGTATACAAAGAAGGGTCAAGTAGGACTGTTTGAGGGGGGAATGGTTTAATGGACGCTTTCTTATAATATTGTAGATGGTGACATCCACAACACTTACTTCTATTGCTTTGTGTATTTTGGTAGGCCCACACAGATAGTTTTCTAAGTCCAGGACTGAATCTAGACCTTCTCACCATTAGTATAATGATCTTTGCTTTGAACATGACAAAATCTATATTTGGATTTTAAAGACAACGGTATCATTCTGCAATTCCTCATGTATTCTGCAATGTTTACAATATTAACAAATTTATTCTATTAGAATACTTCCACTTAGACTTATTTCCAGTGCTTCTTAAAGTGCTATTTGGTAGAAGAAAGACTAAAGGGAAAGTATATCTAAACAACAACAGAACCACTTTGCATCTCCAAGGGAGATCATCTCATGTTCTCACAACTAAGATGCTTTTCATATGCAGATACAATGCAAAGAAGCAAACCATGGTAAAGTTAGAAACACAGAGAAGAGTTAACAAAAGGGAACAAAAAAGAAAAAAAAAAAAAAGAAAGAAAGAAAAACAAAACAAAACAAAACAAAAACCAGCACACACAAAAGTGCTCGTTTGCAGTAACCCTTACCTAAATGACTCACAAAGGACAATTGATTCTGGTAAGAGTGCTGCTTCTACACCTGCATAATTATGTATCTGGCCTTGATCCTTGATTTGTTTCTACAAAGTAGTTATAGCAACACCTTCCAAACTTGTCCCAATGGGCTGACGTGAAAGCAAAAGGAGATAGTAAATGTGAAAGTATTTGAATTAAAAAAAAAAAAAACTTTAAGTCAGTTGAAGTCTAAAGGGAATGATAGACATAATTTATTAGCTATCCTCATCCTTATCACCAACACACCGCCCCCAGAATAAACCAATAGGACCCGAGTTGCTCAAGGTAAGGTAAGCGGAACCTGGGATGAAGGTGCACCGCAGCAGAGGTGGAAGGATGTGACAATGTCGGTACCGGGGCCAGGGAAAATTAGAGCAAGATGAGGAAAGGCATTTCTTCTGAGCTGTTCTCTCTGCTGACAGAAGCCTAGGAAACGCGGGCGGGTTACCATAGCGACCGCATGGGGCAGGAGGCAGGGCTCTTCGGGTATGTGCATCTACAACTAGGGCTCGACTGGAAACGCATCCCGCTGAAAGCCGACTTCCGGCGGAAGGGAAAGTGAGTTCCGCTCTTTGGCAGAGTGGGCTCTGGCTCCCATGTGAAAGCTTGGTGAGTCTGACGCTATGTGGAGCCAGGGGAAGGCACCGGTAGGGCCAGGCTGTGTAGGGTGGACTGTGGATGTCTCGGGTCCCCAAGTTCCAAGTCGGCTCGACCCGACTGCTTCATGGTGAACTGATTTCTAAATCTGGGTGACTGTGGCATCCTGGAATGCACAGCTTCAGGAGCGATGTCTTTGAAGGCTGTGAGCATCTTTGCCCTAGCAAGACTGTCCTCTCCCTGAGCCAGTGCTGTCATTTCGTGCGTCTTTATATTTACTCTGGAAGAAAAGAAGTGGCCAGGGACAGCTCAGGGGCTGTGTATGCCCTCAACTTCAATTTCTTTGGCACTCATAATTCTTTTACCCATTTGTTTCGTAAACATTAAGCCCCAGTATTTTGAGTGAACACCCGTATGCCAGTTTTACCATTAGATTATAAGAAGAACCTTCTTAGAAGTTCATCCGCCAACGAGGCTCGTTATTCATTTTCTTTTTCTGGCGTTGTGGATTTATTTAAGGAACAAGCATATACCATGATATATCTAGCAGGATTTCTGTACTTCCAAGTTTCTTTTCTTATACACGCCGCCTTTGAGACATTTTAAATGGGGCTATAGACTTTCTTGGGTTTACACTATGATCACTGTTTACTCAATCGAGTAATAAAGAATTTAGGAAGGGATATTTTGTTATTTCGACTGTAATAAACTGCCATAACATTTCTGCTGCAGCTTATCTGAGAAGGTGATGGATTTTGAGCAAGCACTCAAAAAGGATTGGTACAGCATTCTGGGGGCAGATCCGTCTGCAAATGTGTCAGACCTAAAACAAAAGTATCAGAAACTCATATTACTGGTAAGTCTTTCCTTTCAAATTGGAAATCATGGCAGAGAAAAGTTCCTTTCTTTCTTCCTTTCTTCCTTCCTTTCTTTCTCTTTTTTTTTAAAAAAAATATGACCAGAAATTTAAGCTTCAAAACATGTATATCAATAAGAATCTAGATATTTGTTTTTTCAGTCGAAAATTCCAATGGTAGAGGAAAAAAGAATTTTGATTTGGTATGGGATGGCATAGTGATGATTAAATTAGAATCCTCTGATTCTATCACTATAAGAACTTGGATCACTTTTCTGTTTGTCTCAGCTACTGTTGAATGAAATAATCCATGTATGTTTAAACAGTTTTTACGTAAGTGTTGAAATCCTCTAGCTACTAACCACACTATTGAGATTTGAAATGTGTAATATTCTGTGTTTAAAATTGTAATGTGTTATAGAATATGCACTGGATTTTGATGACTTGGTACAAAAAAATGTAATTTTTATAGTGATTATACATTAAAATGATAATACTTTCTATGTACTGGTTGTTGCACAGGAAGTATTGTTTATTTTGCATATAATATTACATTTTAAGTAATATTTTATTCTTTGAGAATTTCATATGATTTTGATCATATCCATTCACCTCCTCAAGCTTCTCCCAGATATACCCCCACCTCCCTACCAACTCAGATTCGAGGTCTCTTTTCCCCCACCCCCAACCTACTGGGTTCAATTTGTGTTGCCCAAATACTCTTGGGTATGAAACCTGCCCTGGAGTGTGGTCTACCAATCAGGAGTTAGACCCTTAAAGAAAACTGACTCCTCCTCTGCCTGAAATTATCAAATGCCTGTAACACCCCAGCTTCCATGCTGGGATTTATAATATTAAATGTACCTTAATTTTGCTTGTGTTAACATGTACATGCAGTCTTTATTTATAGCTTAGATTAATTTCTATTGGGTAGTGATAATTTAACCTGTTTTATTGTGTTCACTAATTTTATTTGTTTTTAAAATTAATGTGGTACATAAAATTATCTAGAACCTTTTAATTGTTCTATTCATTTATTCATACTTTGATGTTTGTTAGCCAAGGTCTATAACAGTGTAATGATATTTTTAGTTCACTTTACAAAAAGGAACAAACTATCTTTCTTTATATAGCATTGTTTGTCTAGTTTATGACAGTTGTGATCTCTGATATTTTTCCCAAACTGCGTTTATTTGGGAATGATATCTCACCATCAGAAATGTTCTAATATCCCAGTCTTAGAAAAATGAACTTCAAGTACCTTCTGCCTTGGCATTTTGAAGTTATATCAGAAAAATCAAGTACATTTTGTTGAAAAAAATTCCCAATACTAAGTCATCTTTGTATTTTAGTTAATGCTAGTCAATGTTAGATAATGCTGTGCTAGATAATTGACTAAGTAGACCTGGGGATCCTTCTATATTCTGTTATCTTTTAGTTGGGCACTGAGAAGGCTTTGTGTGATCCTATTCATCAGACATAGTAACAATATATCATGTCTAATCTATGTCTGTCCACTACTGAAGTATACTCCCAGTATAGAAGTCTTTTGTTTTTATGAAATATATCCATTTTGGCTTTGTTGTTTTATATTTACTGGTTCTATGTCTTCTCTAATGTCATGGAAATAGTCTTCTGGAAGTTTTATAGTTTGCTTTACTGATAGACCTATGCCTTCTATGTGGGCTGAAGTTGGTGGCTAGACTTGTATGTTTCCTCAGTATGGAGGTGCAGTTCCTCCAGCATCATTTCCAGAAAGCATTTTCTTTCTCCATTAACCTGTCTATTTCTGGGTGTTATATAAAATTTTGTTATTCTTTTTTAAAGGTTTTGTTTGCTTACGTCACTAGGTCTGTTTTTGTTGTTGTTACAAAAACAAGCTTTTAAGTTACTGTTTTCTCAATCTATATTTTTCACCAGTCTCACTGAGCAGTTGAGAATAGTGTCATTGGACTAACACTGTTCTGTGTCTAATTTTATAAAAAGGCACATTTATTACATCTACTTTGTCCAAATTTAGAATTTAAAACCTCCTACATAATTAGTTGTTGGGACAAAATATTGCTAAATTGCAGACTGCTAAGTTTACAACCCATGCTGATTTAGTAAGTACTGTTTCCTGTTTTTCAGTTTTTTGTGAATGTAGTGTTTTTCACGGTTCTGATACTGAAAACAATTTTATTTACCGAAATATTTTAGAATGTTTTAAAACATATGTAAATGTCAAATGTAAGTTAGTCCTACAGATGGTCCTTTTACTTAGTATTTACTCTCTTGCCAAATGACTTACTACACAAAATAAAACAATTAAATTTCCTAGCAGTGTTTTATTTATTTATTTATGTGTTCACTTCTTCTCCTTGAAAGTCAACTATAACTGTGTTTTCATTTCCCACAAGTAATTGTTTTAATAATAACCTATTGCTTTAAAATCATCCAGGGTCTAGAAATAATAGTTATATTATTCATATACATGTATGTACATATATATTCTGAATATAAATCTTTGTTAAAATGAAAAATGGTTCCTTTTCAATTGATACTGATAATATTACAGAATACCTTTCAATCGGAAAAGAATTACTGGAAAACTATATGTTACTATTAGAGCATGTCACATAATTTTAAGGAAAATCTATGTCACTTGAGACTTGACTGTTGACAATGCTCTCTGTGTTGAGAGGGTATAAAATATGTTTCTATTTACATATATATTCAGAAGCTTCCTTGATTATAACTAATTATGTATAGATTATCATTAAGCTCATTATATAATACACTTCATGTCCTGAAATCGAATCTAGAAAGGGTACCTGTGCTGCATCAAAAAAGAATTACCACATTGGGGTAGGGAGCTAAGAACAACTCTTTGAGCATTCTCGTGAGTACATTACAAAGGAAGTGATCTTGTTTCAGACTAGGTTGTTTGGCATTAAGAAAAATTTAGAACTTGAGCCAAAGTTTCTATGGAGGGCGGAGAAAAGGAATTTGGATACATGGCAGCTCATTCATGACTAGAACTGTCCTTGTGGGACAGGTCAGAACAGCACTGCTCTTACCCCTACCATCACCATGGTCTTGATGAATACCTTCTGAATGCTGGAGAGGGTGCATCTAGCTGTGTTAGTACAATCAGAGGCCTTAGTTGTGGAAGACTGCACACATTGTGATAAAGGTAGTTCAATTTTGTATGACAGGGAGTTGAATCTCTAGTCGAATCTCTAGTTGGGTGGAGGAGAGGATACTTGGTGTCATGGTTGGCTTGTGTGATGTGGAGATAATCTCTAGTCTGAGTGTCAGAAGGTGGGATATTAGGAGGTGATGATATTATCAGAGGTGTAGATTTGTTAACTGGAGAATCATATTTCTGGTAAAAGGCTGTTTGCTCCCTTTTGCTTTTGTGCACACAGTCTCTATTAACCTTCTGCTAGGGGTGATTAACAAAGCTCTTAAGACACAGGCCACTTCAGATGTGTAAGAAATGAAGCTACATTCTTCACAAGTCACCTGGTTACAGTTATTCTGTTAGAACAGCACACAATGAACCAAGAAACTGAGTAGCCCCAGTGCCATGTTACTGTTATGTGAACCAATTCAAAGACAATTAACCTATTCTCCACCTTAAACCTAATATTCTAAAACTTATTCCTAAGTAAGTTGGTTAAGTGGCTAAAATTTTTGTTAGTTTTTAACATAGGGTTTTAGCCCAAGTAGGCTAGAACTCATCAAACTTTCATTGACCTTAAGGCAGTTCTCCTATGTAAACCACAGTATTTTAAGTTTGGTTTCTTGAAATACAATATTACTTATTTATAACAGGCAAAAGTAATCTTAGATGAGATACAGATGAACTTTTTTTTTTTTTTTTTAGCAAATAGGTCTATAAAGCTTATATAAATTGTGATTACAAATAACTATCATTTAGTATTTATGTATAATTTGTGATCTATATTACAAAACATAGTTGATTTGGGGATGGGACTAGGTAACAATAGAGGTAAAACAATAGAAATAAAACAAGACTGCTAATAGTATGAGAATATGAGGCGGAAGTCTAGGAGGTGGCATAAGATCATTCGATTCTGAGACAATAGTCTGAACTTCTGGCTCAGAAGTCACATCCAGATACAATAACATTTAACCTTTGTTAAAATAATAGCTGAGACATAGGTCTGCTTTTAGGAGGCATCTGCTGTTTGTTTTTTGAGGTCAGCACAATTTTACACTTTGCCTCTATTTGTATGTGATAGTTTATAGCCTGCTGAGAGTCTAGCAGTGCATTTGTAAGTATCACAGAAATACTAGTACTGCATGACTTTATCTTAAATAGATATATGCTTGTGCTCTGTATGTTTTTTTCAAGAGGGAAGAATGTAGTGTCATATTCCAGTGAAAAATGCGATTATAACAAGTGAGTAAAATAAAGAATTGATTAGCCCTTTCAAGACATTATTGCTGTTATGTACTATTATGCTATTGGGGAAACAGTTTGTGTTTCTCTAGATTGAAAAAGGAAAAGCTAACATCTCAAAGGTAATTAGTGATTACTTAATAAATTTAATATGTAAGCTATGTTAGTTAGTTTTGTGTCAACCTTGCACAAGCTAGAATTATTTGGGAAAAGGGAACCTCAATTTAGAAAATACTTTCATATGATTGGCCTGTAGGCAAGTCTGTCAAGCATTTTCTTGATTAATGATTGATAAGGAAGGGCCCAGCCCACTGTGGTGGTACCACCCCTGGGCAGGTCGTCCTGCCTTGTATAAGAAAGCAGGCTAGCAAGCCATGGGAAGCAACCCAGTAATCAATGTTCCTCCATGGCATCAGCAGCAGTTTCTGTCTCCAAGTCTTGTATTCATTTCTTGCTTTGACTTCACTGGATGATGAACTACCAGCTGTAAAATGAAATAAACCTTTTCCACCCCTAGTCACTTTTGGTATGGTTTATTGTCACAGCAATAGAAAAGTAAGATATGAGCATTGCAGATGTCCATTTGGCA